GAAGCGCGCGGGGGCGGCTGCCGCGGCCTGGTGCCGGGGCAGACGGCGGGAGGGCTGTGAGGGTGAGGGAGGGCTGTGAGGGTGAGGGAGGGCTGTGAGGGTGAGGGAGGGCTGTGAGGATGAGGGGCTCCGAGGGAGGAGGGCTCCGGCCCCGCCAGCCGAGGCCTGGTCCTCTGCCATCTTCTCTTCCTGCCTCGCCTCGGTGTGCATGAGGTAGCGAGCCTTCCCCGGGGCAGACGGCGCCGCGCTGGCTTCCCGCCCAGCGCCGCCTCAGCCTGGCCCCTCGCCTGGAGGGGGCGAGGAGGAGCCTCGCACGACCGCGAAGCGCGGGTTCTCGTTAAGACGAAGAAACCCTAAGCCCGCGCTGCCGTGTGTAGGCTAAAGTAAATACAAACGCTTTTCCTCTTATGAGTTTGCTTTATTTTCTATGCTAGCGTTCTTGTTTTATGCGAAGGTAGTGTAATGGCTAACGCTTTAGCTAATGGCTGTTTCTGTGTAGTCTGTAACGCTTATAATGGCCTTTAGATCGTTAAGAACCTGGGCTCCCATTACAGTGTGAAGTTAATATAAATAGTAAGCAAAGTAATATATTTATCTTCACATAAATGTTGTTTATACTGAAGTTTTAAAATAGGTGTCCCTGAGTAAAATTAGCACTTTTACTTTTGTATTAGTAGTTATAAAATATTCAGCCTAGTCGTTGTTTAAAAGAGAAGACAACTGAAATTATTTAACAAAATGGGTGGGGGGTGTAGAGGCCTCAGGTGGGTCTTGTCAGAGGAATTGAGGCCTATTGAGTGTGCTCAGGGCCCTGACCTGAGGAGCATAAATGAATTGAGTTTGCAACAGTCTTTTTAGTTTCCTTTTTTTTTTTTTCCCCCTTTTTAAATAGGGTCGTTTGTAGTCTTTAAACCTTTTGCATGCTATAAGACAGAACAAGAAGGCAAACAGATCCCCTGTTTTTACACGAGACAGTAAGTGATCGTTACCTGTAAAACTAGAACAGCTGTAGAGCTTACAGACTGCTGTGAAAGTCTGGTCCTTGACTTCAAGAAGTTTAAAAACTGCGATTCCATTCTGTTCTATTAGAGCCAATAGGGAAAATTTTGATTTAATGGATTTGGGATTTCTGCTTTGTATATGCTTTGTAGATTCCTTCAGTTGGGGTCAATGTTTAGATGCTAAGATAATAAGTCTTAAGTAAGTCTAAAGCATGTGAAGGTGCTAATAGTACATAGATATAAATTTAATCATATAAAGGAGAAAAATATGAGCAAGTTTCAACTTTTGACTTGAGCTGAAAACAGAGACGGACATTCATCTGTTGAAAATAAAACAATATTTCCAACCTTTTTTTAGCTCAGGACTTCCAGTCTTTTATGTTGTTTATTGAAGAGTTCTGTTTTTCAGGTTTTCTTGTTGGCCTCTCAGTTTAGGCTGGGTTAGCTTTCAGTCACCTCAGAAAGTTAATCAAATGTGTTAATGGTAGAAACCAGGATCATGTATCATCAATTTTTGGTAACAGTCTCAGTCCTTCAAAGATGCACGCATAGGCAGACTTGTGCTCATATGAAGTGCTGCGCGAGGTCAGGTCAAAAATGTTAAAGGATTTAAATAACTTGAATAAACTATCCATTATGGAGGGACAGCTCACGC